AGAAACTTGTGAAGGAATTTAAGGCATCAATGCAGTCTAAGTTTGAAATGACCGACTTAGGCCAAATGATGTATTTTTTGGGTGTAGAAGTCAACCAAAGTGATCAAGGGGTTTTCATCTGTCAAAGGAAGTACACGAATGAACTTCTCGACAAGTTTGGAATGTTGGACAGTAATCCGGTGAGAAATCCTATTGTGCCAGGGACAAAACTAAGTATTGAGGGAGATGGAGTGCTTGTGGATGAAACACAATACAAACAGCTGGTAGGAAGTTTATTATTCCTCACTGTGACCAGACCGGACATCATGTTTGTGGTGTGTCTTCTAAGCAGGTATATGACGAAACCTACGAAGCTACACATGATGGCTGCAAAACGTGTGCTAAGATATTTAAAGGGAACTGCAGAGTTCGGTATAAAGTACCACAGAAAGGGACAGGGGAAGCGCCTAATAGGATACACTGACAGTGACTTTGCCGGGGACACGGATGATAGGAAGAGTACCGGCGGCTATGCGTTCTTCTTGGCGGGAGGAGCAATCTCATGGGCGTCCAAGAAGCAACCGATCGTGACTCTATCAACAACCGAAGCTGAATTTGTTGCAGCTGCTTCATGTGCAGCACACTGTATATGGCTGAAACGAATTCTTGAGCAGATGGGATGGACTGAAAGTGTTGTAGGAGCAACCACTGTGTTCTGTGACAACAACTCTACCATTAAACTGTCAAAAAATCCCGTGCTACATGACGGAGCAAGCATATCGATGTTCGTTTCCATTTTCTTAGGGATTTGGTCATAGATGGAGTTGTAGAGCTCGAGTACTGTGGTACCAAGGTGCAGATAGCGGACATTATGACCAAGGCCGTGGGGCTTGAAGTGTTTGAACGACTAAGAGCACATCTTGGAGTCATGAAGAATGAGAAGACCTTGGAGGCTTCTGTTGTTTAAATTCAACTTAAATATGTTGAGTTTAGGGGAGAATTTGTTAGGTTTATATTTATTTATTTATAATTTATGTTGAGTCAGTCCTATTTTTAAGTCTTTGTTTTACTGTCAGTTAGTGCATTTGCCAAGTCAAGGTTGTTAGCATGTTAGTAGCAGTGAGGACCAAGTATTTAGGAGGCAGTTATTTTGTAACTGGTGTAGTATATATTGCTACATCTGAATTAATAATAAACACAGTTTTTGAGTTTGTTAATTTTGACAGTAGAGATCAAAGTTGTTGTCCAGCATCACGGGAATTATTGTTTTGACGTTGTTAATGGTAAAAGCGGAGTGAAACTTTGTTTTTCTCAACGAAGTGGATTGGTTGGTCGGTGAGAAAGTGTCGTCACCGCTATTTGAGAGGGAAGAGGTTTCAGCCATGGGAAAGGGATGAGGAAGGCCGATTTATTTAGGTGTTTTGGTGTTTAAGGATCGAAGAAAACTTATACACCATGTAAGAAAGTACCTTGTCTTTCTTTGATACCTTTTCTGAATAATATACAAATTTTGACTTAATTATTTAAGAAACTAATAATGTCTAATTACAACGAATCAATGATAATGCCTAATTACAACCAATCAATGTACACAAAATATAGACAGATTTTTTTTCTTTGTTTTTATTCTATTAGTTAATATGGTTTCATAAAATATTTTGTCACGGTTAAATCTTAACAAAATAAAATCATATTTTATTCCTAACTGTGATTAATATATATAATCTTCCAAAAACTTAAGACTCAAATTATTTTTATTATTATTATTAGATGATAGACTTAGTTTAATTTTTTTTAATTATGTAAAATATAATAAAAAGAATAATAATTATAAAATTGTCAATAAATTGGTAATTCTTTAAAAAAAAAGAAATGTTATATGGCAAGAGAATGATTATCTTTGCGAATACCACATTCTGAATGGTCTTTCAGATGTTCCTTTTTATTATAGGAATGTTATTTCTAAACTCATTTTGACATCAAATACTTACACCGTATACACTGTTCACCGTATTTATACGGTGAACAATGTTATTGATCTGACTTGATCAGGAGGGGATCACGGGCTGACCACACTCTGTTGGACTGCTACCTGTTCACTGGTGATGAGGAGGAGAAGAGGGGTGTACCTGCAAGACACTCCGACGCCAAAGTAAGGGATTAGGCAGAGTGAGAGCAAAGTACAGAAAAGGGGTAAGAAGTGAATTACCTGACCCTCTTGTGAAAGAGGGTATTTATAGAGAGACCTCAACGATGGGCCAACGGTCACTTGTGTTGGGCTGAGTTGCCAGGCCCAACCCAAGTGACTGCTAGGGCTTACGTGGCGTAGTGAAGACCAGAACGTGCTCTTTCAGAGGTGGGCAGTTGGTTGGTGACGTGTCCCTGCGGAGGGGAGCTCACGAGGGTGGGGGATGGACACATTGTCCTGCACGTCGGCGTGGGGATTCTACCCGCGGAAGGTTGTTCTGTTCGACGAGGTGAGAGCGTCGAGGGCACCTTGGGGCACGCCGTCCTGTTCGGCGGGAGCATGTCCTGCCCGCCGAGGGGGTCGCGTGTCCGGCTAGCCTAATTAAGTCATACTGGGCCTTGGTTATGCATCATTGGGCTGGACCGCGAGGCGAGGTCGGGCCCAGGCCAAAACAGTTATCTTTTAATAAAAATTATATTTATGAATAGTAAATTGAACAGTGTCGTGAACAGTAGGTGAATAATTACTTTAAGTAGTGAAACAATGTTGGTTAATGAAATGTAAAAAATTGATTAATGAAATGATAAAGTTGGTTAATAAATGTCCTGATATTAAAAATAATTTTTATAATAAAATAAAGTTGGTTAATAAAAAGTAAAAAATTGTCTAATAAAATTGAATAATAAATATTCAAATATTAAAAAAATTTAACATTAAATAAAATTGATTAATAAAATACAAAAATATTAATTAATAAAATTATAAAATTAATTAATTACATAATTTTATATGTAAATGTATTTTTGTGGCGTAAGAATACCATTTTTCTACGGTAAATTATGTAGAAACTACAAATACTTTGATATGTTTTAGAAAAGTCTTTCAGAAAAAAGAATAGTTCTTGTGGATAAATAAACATGGCGCAAGTTGGAGATAGGGATCCTTTCCATTTTTTTGTCTCTCTATTTTCTTATTACTATAGTTTTGTGTGTAAATAACACACATTTTTAAAACATGTGACATATAATTAATATTTAATTGATTTTATATAATAAAAACTATAATAATAGAGAAAATGAAGAGAAAAAAAATGGAGAGGGTATTATCCCTCTAAGTTGTCATACGAATTAATTTATACAAATTCAAGGTTGAGAATACGAGCACCTGGATGAAAGAAAAAAAGGAACAAAAGCATGTAAAGATTATTTTTTTATAACAAAATTAAAAAGTTGGTCAACCAACATCGTAGTATTTATTTTGTCATGGTATTCGCATTGAATTCCCTCGTACTAAATATGACTTTCTCAGCTTCCCATGCACTTATATCTTGTAATTACTTCTAATTTTATCATTTAGTTTGGTTCTAGATTAGACCAAGACCAAGTTATTCTTCAACAATTATTTACAGATAACTAAATCAAATTAAACTTCTTGACAATGTAAACAAGTTAGAAAAATAATGTTATGAGTAATAAAATAATGAAATATAATCATTGTTATAGAGTCTAATTATGTATTTCTTTTTTTCAAGTAATTCCAATTTCATGGTTCGCAACTCTTCCCAGAGTCATTTTGTGGCATGTCATGCAATCAGTGATGAGTAAATGAATTGGGTACAACGAGAGAGAGAGAGAGAGAGAGAGATCGAGGACCTTAGATACCGAAGTCCTTGACATAATGCCACTTGATCTCATCATATAACAAACTTCACCTATGTATGATCTTATGCCATTTCCATGTAGATGGATATTCTTAATGATTGTTATTGTGAATTCGGTTTCATGACTTATCTGAACGAACAAGTGATAGCATATCAACCATTCAAACCACAGCTTAATATATTAATATATAAAAAACAATGCAGCGACAAAGGAATGATGTTTAGCTACAATGCACACAAAGTGCAGAAAAGTTAAATGTGCTATTTTCGGCAAATCAAACGTCACTTGAAATTTGTTATTAACAGCATGCACGCCATTTTTACTCGTGGCATTGCTTATATACTCTATTGAACTCCATAATTTATTAAAACCGAGTAGCTAATTGTGCACATGTTCCCTATCAACTCTGGTTTCCACCATATCAGAAAATTGACATACATCTAATCCTTTCTACATGGAAATCAAGTCCTTATAATATCGAAGCAACATTAAGTTGCCAAGCAGCAGTTCAAGAGCCTGCGGCATCAACCTCTTGCACAAGCTTAGATAAGCAGTTGAAGTCGATTTTTTAAAGTCCCGGCTGACCTATAATAATGATACAATTCTGGCTCAAAATGCAATAAACATAATGTCTAATGTACCCATCAACAAGCATTTCTTCAGGAAATTTCAATGAAAATAAAAATGCCTTGTAGTTATGACATCAAATATGATACAACTTTAATATATCAAGAAATAATGAAAATTCTCATGCCATTGGCATTGTCATATTGAAAATTCATATATCAAGAATATGATACAATTTTCTAGCTAATAAGCTTTGACTAACACAATTAATCATTAAAAATGAATTATACTGTAGCTCCCTAGACCAGATAACAAGCATTGTACCCAAAAAAAAAGACAGATAAGCAGAACATCATGTGCGTTCTCCCTCCCTGTTGTGATATTTGATGTATATAATCCTCAATGTTTCTTTACAGGCTGTCAGCTACCAAATTCTTTCATTGAACCATTGTTTTTGTAACCAAGATATATTTTCTAATTTACAGATACAAACCTGCTTTCTCAGCAAAACAGTTAGCAAGCAAACATACTCCGCTGAAGCTGGATGGCAGAAGCAGACATTCAAGTGTCAACAAAAGAATTCTCCATCACTCCCATTTATGCCATTAGGAAAATGAGAATCTTGAGAAAAGAGAGAGCCCAGATCCTGATGTTTCACTTGCAGGACTTGGCGGAACATCTGTTGAGTTTTGATATGTCTGTTGACATTTTTGCATCTGCATTCACAATCAAATAGCACAAAATTGTTTCCTTTTCACTCGTCAACATAACTGAATTTTTGAATGTTACATTCTAAGGAGTAACATTTAGAATGATACGTAAAAAAAATTAAGGAAAAGTTAAGAAATAACGACTCTTCTAAGGGGTAACATTTTAGATGATATCAGGATAATCATTGGGAGACAAAAGATACGTACATAAGGAAAAACTTTTGAAACTTGAATCATACTGTTTTGAGCAATTACTAACTATCCAATTGAATACTTGAGAATATATTTGAAACTCCTATTATACAGAAGCACGTATTTAGACTAAATATTAAGATTCTTTCAGTGTTGTAAAATATTGAGATATTTTTCATATATTGTAACAAGTGTAGTGCCCACTGATGAGCCTACAGATATTTAGTATTAGCCAAATGATTTTTTCAACTTAAAATTACATGAGTGTGATTCTTAATAGAAGCCCTTAAATATAATTTTGGAGATGCAATGGCATTGTAAAAGGAGCACCTTTATCATTTGCAAAATTTACGACTTCCCCCATAAATTTTCATTCATATCTCTCTACAAAGTAAGAGTTTAGATGCAAAGGTAGATGATGACAACATTACCTCTTCTGGACTAAACTGAAGCAGCATTCCAATAACTGGTAGCAATACTTCCACTTCACCTGACCACAGAAAAATTATTATTAGAAAATGCAAAGGAGATTAAAACAAAGGGGAAATCTTTACTTATTTATTAAGATAAATTAATACCTGTCTCCAGAAGCTTTAAGATAATATTTTTTAAATATGTCATATCTACACCTTCCCTTTTCTTCGCTCTTTCCATGCTGCGAAGCTCAGACTTCAACATTGCCTCCTGCAGTCATAATATTTGGAAATTCACGTGTGGGTTGCTGTATGCTTGCACATGTAACTAAATTAAATGAATCACAAATCCAAAGAACGCTCATTTATTCATTTTTCAAGTAGTCACAAATTTAAAAATTATGTAGCATGATAACATTTTTCCTGTCAGAAAATTGCACTACAAGCAAAAGGAGAATTAGCAGAATATCTTTAAATGGAAATCAGTATTCCAATCAAAGAAACAAGCATTGACCTTGTACAGCTGCTCCTTTCATTTCTTTACATGGAAATACAAATAAATCTTGGTAAATTCCAGGAAGACATATACCTGTTGGCTGTGGAGACGATTTTCATGTTCAAGCTCCTCAATTTCTTCCTGAATTAGCAGTGTTGTATTATATAGTATTACAGAAGAAAAGGGATGGGGGACAACTAGAGAGTAGAGACTAAGATTCTTTAAAAAAAAATCTAGACATACTTGAAGAGCTAAAATATGGCGCTGCGACTGTGCCAGCTCTTCCTCCCTTTGGGCCTGTTGTCTAGCCAAAATCTGAAATTGTGACAAACATCAAAACAAAGACTCGGGGATGGATTCTCCAAAGTATGCTGAAGAAATGCGAGAAGATATGGAATGAAAGAAATCGTCTTTTATATCTTGAATAAAAAACGTCTTCCAGTTTCATCACCCCCGCCCTTAAAGGCCAAAACAACTAAAAAAATTGGAGGAAACAGGGTCCTGTAACTGAGGCAACTAAGAGATTTGCATCTTCTTCCTCGTAGTTCACCAAATTGCTATACACAACTTTCTAACTGGGTACTTTAAAAATTATCTCAAAAATTTATTAGAGATAAATGGAATTGAATAGAAACTGCAATTGCAGAATGCTTTACCAGAATTTGATGTTCAGCATCTGAGGGACTTAAATTACTCGAATCCAATTGATGCAAGGCTGTACATAACAGTTGAAGAAAGTGTCAAACATCACCACTAATTGATAGACTTTACGATTACACTAACAACAATATGAACAGCTATTCATCACCCTGAGGAAAAACTTAAAGGAAACTCTGCAGATCGAAAATATACTGTCATACTATAATTGAATTAATACCTGGGTTGTAATGATCATTCTGACTGGCCTGATATCATTTCAGAGCATTGCGGCATCAGAAGAATAAAAATGCAAGACCGTGGAAATGTTTAGTTTATGCGAAATGCCGTGATTGTTATGATATTGAGAAAATGCATAAATAAATAAAAAACATACGCGTGGTCTGGATTGAAGAGATTCGCGGAGATTCTTATTTTCATCTAGAAGTCTTGATATTTCATTGTCTTTGTCCTCAATCATTCTATCAGCAAGATCATGAAATGAAGCATGTTCTTCCTAAAGGTTACAGATTCAGTTAGCCCCCAAATAAAAAAGATGGGCAAAAACATTAACAGAGGCCAGAATCAAGTCCAAGCACAGGTTTAACAATTTACAAATTACCTTCAATTTTTTACATCTCTGTTTGAGATCTTCCAATTCCTTTTCCATACCTTCTGCAGCAGCTGCTTCATTTTCGGTCTTCATTGCCTCGCATCTGACTGCAAAGTTCAATTTAGGGTAGTTTTTAATGCCAAATTCATATGCATAAGAAAATCAACGAAATATAAGGCACAAACAACTTTTAACTAACTATCAGTGTGTATTACTCCTCCATGTTTCTTCTACATTTTGAAGGCTCAGTCCCCATTCCTCTTTCTCTTTTAGGTGCTGAGCACTAACTGAGTCAAGCTTTATTTCTAAACTCCTTATCTGTTGCTTGACACTTTCAAGGGCAGTGTCTCTGAAATTAATAAAATGAGAGGTTGTGAGTGCTCCACACTGAACAGCAAAAAGGTAACTACTATTAATCCCCAAACCATAGCACAAATCAATGGGAAAAAGCAAGGTTTTCACAACATCAGTTACTTGTGATCTGGCTTTTGTTTCCAGTTGTATGTTTGTCATCTGTATAGTCTTAAAGGCGACATATAATAATAATGATGATGATAATAATAATAATAATAATAATAATAATAATAATAATAATAATAATAATAATAATAATATAATAATAATAATATTAATAATATTAATAATAATAAATACAAGCCTGTCAAGAATCAATGATTTATCAATAATAATGATACCTTTCGGCAAGTTCTTTCTCATTATTGGCCATGGCCGATTGAAGATCTTGAAGAACTCTATCCCTTTCTTCTGTTATTGATAATACTTCATTTTCAGCCTCCTGTAGCAATAGAGAATGTGATTGGCAAATGTATACATTTTAGTCGAACAGTGTCCTCTTCATAAGACTATGATAAACATGTACTTTAAGAGCCTCCTCGAGAGCTTTGAGTTGTTCAGAGTCTTTAGCTGCAACCAAGTCTGCGTCCTTCTTTTGAAGAAGTGCATGTGCACGAGCCTTGTATGAAGAAAAATCCCTCTCAAGACTGCTGATCTGCAGAGGTGCAGAACACATCATATATCAGTCATGCCATGTAAATCAAATCTTCACACACTATGTGGCTAAGGGTCAAATCAACAGCCATTCAAGAGCATGGTTTGAGTACAAACCATATTTCCATGAACAGTTGCCAATTAAAGGCTGTATTGTTCTATTATAAGTCATATGAGAATTCTAACAAAGATTAATTAGAACCTCTTCTTTGGCAGCTAACAATTCAGCATCTCTCATAGTGAGGATTTTGGCTTGTGCAGATACCTCTGATTCAAGCTGACCTGGCCATTGCCAAACACATAAAAATCTATTTTGAAATGAATATGAGAAAGTTTATAAATGGATTAATATGTACTTCTTATTTTTGCTACTTCAATTTCTGCACGTATACAGTTGCTCTCAGCAATTTGGAGCTTCGCTTTAAGTGCATGAGATGCAGCCTCCCAGCTTTCCCTTTCTTTTTCCTGAACACACCAAAGTTTCAAATAAGTGCCATATAAAAAAAGTACCAACTTACCAAGCAACAAATGCATAACAATAAGACCTCCAAAATTTCTAAAAATTCCAAGTTCTCTTTAATTACACATCTTCATCACCTATGCAAAAAATGACTACAGCAAAAGGCATCTCAACTGGATATAACCATAATTTCCTTTCACAAATAAAGGTAAAGAAGATTTATAACAATGCTTCCATTCACTTAACAAAAGGAAAAATTCAAAACAACTTCTGCATGATAAATCGTACAAGAATTTAATTGTGATTTAACCATCTAAGGCATGTAATTCTGCTAAGCGCTAACAAACTTCAAACAAGTCAACGCCTTGGGGGTGTTTTCATTCCTGATTTTACATGTATATCTTTAAGGGATAGCTCAATCAAATAATTATTTAAGTAACCCATCCTTCCATCTCAACACATGTAATGGAGAATTCAATGCATAATCTAAATTTGCATATAGGTGTCACATGATCACTCATGATCAATCAATTGCAGTTCTGGAAATCTCCAGGTAAAAGTGCTATAATCAAGACAGAAAATTATGCATAACAATTGCATAAAATGAGTTACGCATGATAAAAATTTTATTTTTCTTGTAATGGAAAATGTTTGTATGTTAGCGTTATGTTATGGGTGGGGATAGAAAGTTCAACCTCCTTACCAGTCCACTCTTTAACTTCTCCGCCCTAATCACTAAGACAGTCTTATTGAATAGGAGGACAAATCATTGTACTGAGAGCCAATTTTAATTCATTTTAATTTTAAAATTGGATTTATGCTTTATGAACTCAATTAGTGGCTCAAATGTCAAAACCCAAAACTATGCCAGGTGTACATACTACAATATCACAACAAAACAAACTCTCTTGCTTAAGGAGAGGAGAAAAGAGGAAGAAAGCTCCAAAACACAATGAAATACTAATTTATACATGTTGAAATCCAGAGTCATACATGCTCCTGTTTAAAGTGAGAAATCTCCCCCTTCACGCTTTCCATGGCTGCTCTGAGTCGTGCTACTTCCCCAGTTGATGCTGCCTCCATCTCTGCAATTCTAGATTCTTTCTCTGCCACTAGAACCTAAAGGCATTAGTCAGTTAAGCATGATCAATCCATCAGCCGGAAACTGCAGTCATGTCCAAGAACACATGCATTCATACATAAGGAGTGAGTGGTACCATCTATTTTTTGGATAAAATATTGGCACCACTAATCAATCCAGGAAAAAAGATAATATCTTATTACAATTAATATAACTTTTGCCAGTAAAATGAGTCCAGGGATTCTATATTTAATAATCAGAAAGAAGTTAAATGTAAGTCAAATATGCAAGTATGACAAAGCACATGAATGGAATGTCTAGAAATAAGAGTAGTCAATAGTGGCGCTATCCCGCTACGGCAGAGTGGAGCGAAGGCTGGCCGCTATGGGAAGAGTCATAGCGGTGCAGACCACTGTAGCGGCCGCTATAGGGAAATAGCGAGATAGCGGAGCAGAGCGGTTCCCAGCCCAGAGCGGGTTTTGGCCCACTAACATTTTCCCCCTCTAAAAAACTGAAATTACCCCTTAAACTTACAATGTTTTAAGGGTAATTTTGAAATTTGAGTTGAGATTCAACCTTAACCTTTCTTTGTAGTTGTTTATGCACTTCAAGAGTCATGTGTGCTTTGATTTATGAAAATTTTATGGTAGGACAAGCTCATGATCATAAAATTCACCTGCAGTGAAGAAATGGATTCATCTGCCTTACTTCTATCAGACAAAGCATCATTGAGTTGAGCCTCCAAACTCTCTATATTCTGCAGGAAATAAGCACTGAATTGAAGCCAAGGTGCAACAGAATACAAAATTCATCGTAGAGATTAAGAATATCACCTTTTCAGAAAAAAATATGAATTTGTGAAAGATTACACAGTCATCCTAAAAGAGAAACAAAAAGTACACACACATACCTTTTGATGTTTGACAGAGAGCTCAGTTAGTGCAGCTTGCCTTTTTTCATCAGAAGCTTGAAGCAATCCTCTTGTATCTTCCAGCATCTGAGTTGTCAAATTTTATGATACCCAACTATTAATCTTATGAAGTTAGCGGCTGCTACAGTCTATTGACTACAACCTAAATACAAAGTTATGGTTGGGCAGACGCAGCAAAATAAGTTGGGTGAAAAAGTATGTTTGCCAAATATTATTCAATAAAATGTAAAGCATCAATTATTTAGTTTATAAATAGTGTACTGCATCAAGTTAAAGATACAAACTTCCACAAGATACAAAGACATAAGTTATAATCCGTTACTACTGAGACTGAAGCACTACACATAATATACATACAGGAGATCCAAATCATACAAACACTTCTCCAATTAAAATAAATGGATAATTTGTACGTACCTGTTCTTTTTCAGCAAGTGACAATTGCAACGCCTCAAGAGCGTCCTCTTTAGGTTGCAATGAACGCCGTAATTCCTCAATGGTATCTCGAAGCCTGGGCAACGCATTTTTTAACTAATAATTAGTATTACAAGTAGGGATGAGTGCTTTGTATTCTCACTTTTCCATAAAAATCTAGAATTAGTTCATTTAGGCACATCAAAAACGTTTTGTTAGCCTAGAGGCAGATTTCAAGAAACCTTCAAGGAAAAAATTCAGGATCAATTTAAGACAAGGTTGCTTTCTAATGATTCCTACATAGCTCAGTCAGTTGAAATCAGGGGTTAACGTGCCATCTTGGAGCAAAATCACTAGCTTTCTCCACAAACAGGAGAAATTAGAATTTCTTTTGAAAGTATATTTATATAAAACATGCAGAGACCCAACCAATACAAAAATTCTTCTGCGTTGTGTTACTCCACATTTCATAATTTAAAAAAGAATAAAACCTTAATTTGTTCATCTGAAAATTAGGTTATCATAATATTTTTTTACTAAATATTTTTGTCATTACTTATTAAATTAGCCCTTCAAAGATTGAAGCGTCACCATATTGGTATTTCAAAGAATTACTTCACCAAATCTATCCTTAAAAGATACATAGTTGTTCCTGAATTTGTCCTTTTGTCTCAGCTTTTCTAAGTATCAGTCCATTTACAACTATGTTTCTAAGGTACCAATTTGTCGAAAAAGTCTTTAAAGGATTATTGCTGTGTGTGACACATTAATTTTTGGGGAGATTGATCTGATGCAAAAAAATTTAGAGCACTAATGTGGTAACACCTTAATCTTTGGAGGACAAAATTGACAATATGCTCCGTGAAAAAAGAAGTGCAACATGTTACACACAAATAAAGAAGACATGGAATAAAATGGAATGTGATAGTTTTAGTTGTGATCTGATCCTTGCGGTGCAAATAACTGTATTGCTTGGGTAAACTCCTATCATAAGCATAGCTTATTAATACACAAATAGATCCTATAATATAAAATAAAACAAAATATAGCCTCTCCTGACACGCCTGAAGATGCACAAATTTTCAAGTAATGAATGTGTTTGTTTATCAATCATCATGATGAAAAGTAAATTAGTGTATTTACTTGTTGTTTGCACTTCTTAGCTGTTGCCTATCACTATCCATGGCTTTCAATGCCTCATTTGCTTGTTTCCTTGTGCGCTCTAACTCTTGAGATGATGCTTGCTCGGCAGATTTATTTTCCTCAGTGAGCCGTGCCTCAAGATCGTCTTTTTCCTGCGAATGGAATTTTCTCAAACCAAAAGATGAACTCACTTCTATATAAACACAGAAAATAATCCAGTTAAGTGCCTCGATAAATTGCTTCATGAGGTTTTGTTGAAGCACTAAACAAGAACATCCTTACTTATTTGTGATAATAAATTTTGGGGGCCAGGGTTCATCATTATAAGCATATAGTTCAGTCCCATATCAAAATTTCAATCATCTAAGAAAGCAAAGGTAAAAAGTATACCATTCACACAAACTTATAATGTGGATACATGACCTAAGTTTCAGAGGGTTAGGGCAGTTTAAGCGACTCACTTGATTAGAAGTTTGAGCACAATTTATTATAAGAGATTGTACAAGTAGCATTACTTCAAGGAAATTTGGACAATATCAACTTAAAAACATATTAACGAGCCAGAAAAGAATATAGCAGTACTTCACCTTTTGAACCTCTTGAATGCGTTGTTTTGCCCTTTTGTGAAGCCTGTTGAACTTGGCGTCAAGTTCAGAGTACTTCTCTTCCCAATCTTTTATTTCACGTTCTGACTTATTTTGAGCTACACAAGAAAGTAACACAACGCTTTCATTCTAAGGAAGATAAAATTTTCTTGAACAGTATTAATTCCATTATGTCAATATGGCTTCATCATCACTAAATGCATAGTAAGAATTAGTTTTGGAAGTAAAACTAGCTACCAAACAAGTAACAATATACAGGGTAAAATGATATTCAATGAGTTAAATTTGTTCATTCATGATTAATATCTGACTTTCGTTATCAAACACGTGCACTCAAACATAACCACACCTTCTACAAGCTGTTCAGAGAGGTCTTTGGCTTTTGCTTCTGCATCTGAATACGCAATTTGAAGGTGCTTCAAAGCTTCTTCAGATGCAATTCTCGTTTGTTTCTCTTCCAGAAACTCTTTATTCAATGATTCTATCCTTTCCTGGAGCTCTTTCACAACGTCAGATTCCCCATCTTCCACTCCACCAGCTCCTTTCTGTATACTAGACTCAGTACTTACACTGTTAACATTGCTAAACCCCTCAAACTGGGACTTCAAGAATTCATTCTGAAATTTCAGGTCAACAACCATTTGCAGAAGCTGATCATAAGTATCAGCCGAACATTCATTGCCATCAGATAAGCCATTTTCCATTACTAGATTTATATTACTTCCATCCTTGCTTTGACGATTCGTATCAGAATCAGACAAATGCTCCTCAGGTCTAGAAGAATCTTCTGCTTGAATCTCCATAATTCCAACAGTATCACCTTCACCAGATGCCATCAATTAGTGCCACACGTTTTACCAGCATAAGCTGCAATTAAACACCCAATAGCCATGAATCTATTATTATATAAGCAATACAGATGGAAATTTTCAATAGAGCATGCATTCATGATTAAACTTCTTCGTATCCTAAGGATTGAAACATTTTAAAACTTTCAATCATAATTCACTAACTAGTTAAATTACAAATCCAAACAATAACAATTTTAAATTACTTGAAGTTCAACTCCAAAATGTTCCATACATAATAATCCATAAAATGGAACGAGCTTTCGCCGGAACAGATAAACAAAAGCAGAGCTCAGTTTTCGTGCCGATTGAATCTTCTCTCCAAATCGTTGCGATGCATGATTGAATTAGAAGTTAACACAAATCTAACAACGTAACTGAATTAGGAGAAATGTTGAATAATATAGAGATTCTCCACAATTGAGTGTACCTTATATTGCACAAATATGAGGTAGAAGAGATTTAAACGCGGGAACCACCGGTGAATGTGAGATCGCCGGTGGTGAAATTGATCTCTCACCGCCGCGGATGTCAAGGTGAGGAGAAAACGCTGCCGTTTCGGAATGGTCCAGTCACCGTTTTGGCGGATTTGTATTCCGAACGGGAAAGAGGCTTGGATCTAGCATTGAAATTGTAATTTGTAAATACTTCTTTTCACGAGGATAAAAGTGATATTTTCACAAGTGTTACAGTAAGTTTCCACGATAATTTTAATTTTTTTTCTTACTAAAAAGTGGTTGTAGCATTTTATTCTTGATAATGTTTCTAATATCCTAGTAGGTTGTTAATAAAGATATAGAAAAGATATTTGGTTACCTTTGCTACATCATTGATTTGCCTCTTAATAAACTCTAGTAAAACGAGTGTTAATTACTTTTTTTAAATAGTTTAGTGGTTAAATTTTGTCTTATAAAAGTAGTAATAATCATATTTTTTATAACATTTTTAATAGTACTTTTGCAAGAGGAGGTACTACATTATTGATTTGTATCTACTTCAACAACAAAAAAACAGAATTAATCATATTTTGGCAACACTTAATATTAATAATATTAACAATTTTTGAAACATTTGTTTTTTAAATTATATATAAAATCAACTACTCTGTTTAAAGAAACTTTAAAAGGTTTCATTTATCGTCAACACTATTAATTATGCTAAAGAAAAAAATTTCAACAATTAAAGTTGTCCCAAACAAAATCAAAGTTAATCTCAAAATAAACATATTATTAAATACACAATATGATTTTTAATTTTCATCAATATTTTATAAATATCAATGATCTCTTTTAACATAATAAAAATTTCAAATTCCAAATTAATAAAAATAATCTCACTAGTAAAATAAAACACTTAAATATTTAATCTTCTTAATAGAAAAGAAAAATCATGGACCTTAATTTTGCTATGATCACAGTATTACAATAAATCAAAATTTTAAACTTCCTAATGATGTTTGATTTAATTTACTAACAAAAATATTTAAATATTTAATTATTTTTTTCAAATAAAATACCAAATTAAAAAACTATTTTTACAAACTTGTATCGGTGACAAAAAATAAATAATTAAAATAAAATTTGATTACAACAAAAATAATATCTTTCAATAGTTGTAAGTAAATGTACTATAATAAATAAAGATTAGTTGAAGTAGAACTAAATGTAAAAAAAAAAAATCTAATCTTTAAATGTCAAAAAGTAGTAACGATGAGACAAAAACAATCTCAAAAATAAAAATTAGATTTGTGAAAAACGGAAAAACATAAAATATAAACTTATGATAAATGGATAATTGTAAGACTCTGAATCTAATTTATTTATTAGCGGGGGTTGGAAAAATAATAACAGTGCTATTAAAATAAATTTCCATTTTTGGAGGGCTCCGGTCCTCAATGTTTTATATTTGTTTCTATCCATTTTGGTGTGCATGAGCTTTTTTTAATGGCAAAATAAATATAATAATAAAGAACATAGATCAAGTACAATAGATAGCACAATGCACAAAAGTGCTCATAAATAAATAAATAAAACAACACGACAAAAACAGAAAGCCTCAAATTAAAAGAATGTAATGTCCCGTATAATATATGTCTAAAATTATATAATACCAGAATTATTATTTGATACTAATATTACCGCAAGTGTTTATGGGCATAAATTATATATTTGACAATTTTTCAAATATAAAAGACAACCTATGGTACAAGTAAGGTTGACAATAAATCGAACCAACTCGAAAATAATTTGGAATTTGATTCGACAATTAAATCGTTGAACTAGGTTCATGAATCAAATGAGCTGAATATGATCGAAAAACTATGTCCGTTAACTAAATGAATTGAACTTGAATTATACATAGCTCGACTCGTTAGGTTCACGAGTCAACTCGATTATATATGAGAATGATTATATTATTTTAAAAGTACATTTAAAGATTTACTCCAAATTTTAACCTTATATTGTCTCTTATGTACCAGTTATAGAAATAAAGATGACAGATGCATTTAAAGTCATTTTTGTTGAAGACATTATGGCATTGAGTAAAATAACATGTGTAACAAAGGTTGCAAGTGATGTAATTCTTTTGTAATGAAAAAGTATCAACTTCTAGTATTTTTGGTGGACTATTTCATTAAATTTGTAAGTTACTTAAATATTTGATGAAGTTATGGATTTTTTTAGATAAATTTAAACTTCAATTGAGTGTTTTTTTATTTAGACTTTCAAATGTGTCTCTTAAAAGTTGTGTAGTTTTTGAATTAGTAGATTTTTAAAACAGTTAAATTTCATACTCATAACTTTTATTTTATCTCAATATTTTCTTTTTAAAAAAATATTAATTTAAAATGTCAATATATAAAAATAAAATAGATTTAAAAATGATTTTTAAGTCCGTAAAGCAAGTGAGTTGAACCTATTGAGATTAACCTAACGAGATGAACCGAATAGTTCGTGAACTTTTAACGAGTCGAGTTTGAGCTTTAAAAAAAGTTCGTGTCAAATTCCAACCGAGATTGAGTTGAACCAATTCTTAACGAAGTGAGCCGAGTTAAGACGAGTTCATCTCGACTCGACTCACTTCCATCCCTAGGTACAAGATATAAAAAGTGGCAAACAATAAAAACTAAGATCTAAGTACAACATCCTTCATTATACGAGATACACAATACCCGATGGAATAACATGATCTAGGTTTTCTTTGAAACACCAAAGCATGACTCCACTTGCAAACTAAACTTGCAACAATACCAGAAAAGCAACAACAATAATGAGGTGAGATATTAATCTCAGTGAGTTCTCTTATCTTATGGGTTCACTCAGCTCTATAAGGTTCAGCTCCTCAGTGTAGTCATCCTAACTCGCCCAGTCAGTGATGCGCGGGAAGTGCTGGAGAATCCAAGCCTGAAATAAAATAAAAAGCATTCAGGGATCAAGAATTATCGCAAATATAAAACGAAAAAGATAAAAAAAACATCAAAGGATAAAAAGTTATTACCACCAATATTGTCGTGCATCTTGTGACCTGCTTCGTCCTTCATCGACATCAATCTCTCAACTTCGAATACAGATAGGTCAGGCAAGTCGCCCCCCAGTTGTACTCATGGATTCGTGTGAGATTTAAGAAGTACCAGAGGTATGCAGCGTTAGTATAGGTGACACTCTTGTCCAAAAAAATGCAAGTGCCAACCAAAAAAAGAAGATATGCTCTCAAAGCATGAGTCCTGTGTAAGGCCACTTGTACGACATCACCATCAGCATGCTTTGCAGCAATGATCTCTTCATCATATATCTTTTTTCAAGAACTCGAACCTAGCATGAGCACCCTTGGTCATATCTACCTCTTCAACCGCGTCCCTTAAATTAACCCCAGATGCTCCACCATCATCTCGATCGCCTCGTCTTTCATCATCCTACCATGATGAAAGAATTTCCCTCTAATCGGATGATGCAACAGGAGGAAGTAGGGACATATCAGATGGACCCCTTCTGAATCCCTTTGGCTCGACATCAGCAACATCACTCTCCGGAAGTGGCACCGGTGCATCAGGATCATCAGCGGGAGGTGGCACCTGATCAACAGGAGGTAGCGTTGGTGCATCTCGTCTTCTACGAGAAGAAGAAGGTGGAGTGACCAGAGATGAAGATTGAGTAACCTGAGATGAAGATGGAGTGACCTGAGATGAAGGTGAAGTGGCCTAAGATGAAGGTCGAGTCCCAGGAGTAGACTGTGTTCTATAAGTCGTCGCCTCTACCTGAACAGATGTACCTGCTACCTCCGAAACATGCTGGCTCCGTTCTCGCCGAATGGATGCATGTTGGAAAACCCGTCCAAGTCTCAGTCTGTCGACTCTATCAGCCATTATGCCTGCAAGTTAAAATTAGACATATAATTAGTTTACGCAAAAGAACAACACAAACAAGAAAATTATACTTAAAAAAAAAAACTTAGGAAATTTCGGAGATATATCTACGAAAATACTTCTTACACTATTCTGGAGATGTATCTATGAAATTTCTCAAAGCATATGAAACATTGAACTTTTTCGGAGATGTATCTCCTGAATGTTCTGAGAACCAGAGGTCGCGACAATGATGTCCTCTGCTACTTGGATTGTGAAAAATAACAACATGATCGTTCATTTCAACCTAGAAACAATGCATACAATTACTCTAAACTATATTTCATGTGATTTCTAAACATTTTTACACTTAACAATTGATTCTAACTCGTTTAGAACAAAATTTGAATGTTTATCGAAAACTCGAAAAACTTATCCGAAATTTATGATTTGGAAGATTTTGAATGACAAAATGGATTATTTGAGCCTCCTATTGATGAAATATGAGTTGCAGAATATTGAGAATGAGAGAATGGAAGAGTTGTGTTTGAATGAAAATGAAAAGTGTGAGAGAAAAAGAGTCTGACGTAGTATTAATCTTCAAAATATTTTGAAAATATATCTCCAAATTATTTTAACGTTCACTTGAGTTTTGATGCGTCAAATAGGAGACATATTTAAAAAATTACACGGTGTGCAAAAAATTCAGAGTAGAAAATTTTTTTTCTCTTTTTATTATTTATTTTATTTTCTGTAAACAAATTTCTTAACTAATATACATTTCAGAAATTTGACTCTAACATATAGAAAATGTAGTTTGGAAGTTAAAATTCGGAAGGAATTTCAGTTATGCATTCACGAAAGTTTAGTGACCCATCTTTGTTGTTTTTCTTTTTTATTTACAGTAATTTAGCATAGTGGCCTTTAAGACCACCGTTTATATAAAAAAATGTTTAAAGATATTAATACTAAATTTGATATCCTTCAACTCAGATGAAATAAAAAAGAAGCCTGAGACAAGTAGCATCTGCTTTTAAGTTATTAGCTACTGGTGCAAAAACCACCGCACTCAGCAGCAAAAATTACAATTATTGAAATTTGAGATCCTCTATATCATTTTGAACTGATCATGATTCTAACATAAAGTACTAAAACGCCATCTTTTCTTTAAAGACAATCGATCCAAAATAAGATCAACGCACCCGAACCGCTCAAGTGTTTGATTCCTTTTTGTCTTGATTCTTTCCTCCTGAAACATGTTAAAATATTTTATACATCATATATGAGAAAAAAGCATGGTAGATTTATCAAATTTAAACCGGAAGATCAGATTGGAGAAAACTAACCACTGGATTTTTCAGCTATAATGTTAACAGCTACATCAATGAAAAATGGTTTTGTAGCATCTGCACAATCAAGAGAACAAAAAATTGTGATATCATAGGTAACAGGTATTGAAAAGGAAAAAAAACTAATTACTCTAATGATGGATTGAAGTGAATCTTATAAGCTATCTATAGTTAATGGTGCTGCATAAAAGGAACTGCAGTGCTAGATTAAAGTTAGCCAGCACATTCCATAAGAATGTCATGCGATAAACGTAATTTCCATCAACAACTATGAATCACCATCACCCTAGTCCTCAATAATATGGAATGTTCAAAGGTTGGCTTACCATGTTTCATGGTTAAAGCCGGGTCATGCTCCCTTAGACCACCAATAACTTTTGCTGGTATTCCTGCCACAATGCTTTAAGACAAAGCAAACAGAACAATAAAAGGGTCAACCATCACCTTGTAATATGAAAGAAATCGAATTGCAACGACTGAGATTTTTTTAATAGATAGTTAGATATTCATTAATACCTACGGGGAGGGGCATCTTTTAGCACGAGGGAGCCAGCAGCGATCATCACACCTTCACCAACTTTTATATTTCCGAGTATAGTTGAACCAGCTCCAATGAGTGCCCCTTCACCTATTTTGGGATGACGATCACTTGTATCCTTCCCCGTGCCTCCCAATGTTACACCCTGCCAAATCATACATATATCATCAAAAGAGCATACTGAACGTATGAGTTTAAAACTTCGTTAAAAAATAGTTTTAGCCATAAATCTCTTTGCAGTATATAAGTATCTGATAAAGCAATTTCGTAAAAGTGAAATTAGAATAGTTTTCAAAACTGTTTTCAGGATTATTATCACTTCAATGGAGGCTTGTTAAGAGAACTTCAAAACGACGTATACTAGTTATTATTTTCCTCATGTAGAAAAACAAAAAGCTGTTGAGTAGTAACTATTTTCCTCTAATGCAAGAGTCATTTTATTAAACACATGATTTTATGAAATTAAGAAAGTACTAATTTACTTAAGATTATTAAAGGCATCAAATAAATGGATAATGAATACGATAAAAGATATTAATGAAGACACACACTCACCTGCATCAATGAAACTCTGTTTCCAATAACAGCAGTTTCACCAATAACCACGCCTGTCCCATGATCTAATAAAATTCCCTCTCCGATTTTTGCAGCTATATAAAAAAAATCATAAAATGTAAAGTTCAACAATAGTAATAATTAAGCAATAACCAATGAACAAAGAGCTTTCAATATCTTAAACAGAGAAACTAACATCCTTCAAACAAAGATGAAAACAACATACCAGGATGAATGTCAATTGCAAAAACCTGCGAGGAAAAAGACAAGGGGGTGGATTATCAGTGACAGAAACATAAATATGAAAGCCCTTCATGTTTATTGAATTTATCAAGTTTAACCAAATAGTAAGCTACCTCGTTTACACGGCTTTGCAAAGCCTGGGCCAAAATTGTGCGTCCCTGGTGCCACAATACATGCGCAACTCGATGAACTTGCAGCGCATGGAAACCCTGTTGCCAGATCACAGTTGAATGTCAGTCCTATGAGGCTATTATACGCATGAAAAAGGGAGATGTTGGAGTCTTAAACACAAAATCCACAATAAGACTCTCTAATGTTACAACATGAACATAATGATTGATACCCAAGCAAATACAATAAATTGAGTACACAACAAGTTAGTGGGTGTTGGACCAAAATGAAGTAGAAAATTGAAATACTATATGTGGTAGGTCCCTGTCAACATGTGGTACAAGCATTTTGTTAATATAAAATCATTTGAGAACAACTTTTTTCTTAAAGTTAAAAAAAATTCTAACTAACTTTTACAAAAAGGGTATTGCAGAATTATTTATAAAAAAGCTCTTTATCCCTTATAATGGAAACTAGAACAAAGTGCATTATGAGCCAAAATAAAAAACAAAGTGCATAATTAGAAGTGAAAAGCAATAAGTCAGAGTCAGAAACAGAAAGTAAGTAGACAATAAATAAAAGCAGAGATTTATTATTATTACCTTCATATACAAAATTGCAGTGCAATATGACAAACATGCAGGGTCCCTTTCTTTGAATGCCTGTTTCCAAACACAAACAATAATCAAATCATATCATCATTCATTCAAGACACATCAATCCCACCCTTAAACACTCCCAATACAAAATTATGCGATTTTACTTCAAAATTATACGATTTTTCTTTTAACGGTGTAAACCCGTATATCTTTTTACTTCAAATATTACCTTAAAGCCACGTCAATTATTGTCGTGATCACGCTAAACCACAAAGCAGAAACATAAAAGAACAAAACCACTCGCGGCCAAAAAAGTGGAGACCAAAATCGCGTTATAGTCGGGGAAAATTACAATTAAGTACTATCTCTAATCCTATTTATGAGAGAAAATTTACTTTTTGAATTCATTGAATAACCAATGTATCAAATCAATATAATAGACGAGATACATTGATTATTCAATGAATCTAAAAAGAAAATTTTCTTTAATAAATTGGACCAGAGTGAGTGTTACTTTAGACGACCTTGATCTTTAAAATATTACAAGGCAAACCCTTAACTAAACTAAACACATTCGGATTTAATTAGCGCAACAAACAATTACACGTGCATCCAATTCAATCATGCCTTATTATTACGGCACCATAAGATATGATTGGATAGTATACATAATACTCCATCTGATCCTATTTATAAGAAAAAAATTGCTTTTTAAATTCATTGAATAAACAATATATTAGGACAAAATATAGATCAGATACATTAGTCATTGAATAAATCTAAAAAACAAAAATTTTCTTATAAATAAGACAAGAGCTAGTACTAGATCACGCATAAGATATGATTGGATAGTATACATAATACTAGATCACGCCCGATCAAACTCAAAATTTAAGTCAGTAAGACCCTAGTTCAATTGAAAAAATACGAATACTATTAGGTCGAACACATTATACTGAGTTCGACCTCTTCATCTACGGACAAACAAAATACTCAAAGCCTAACATTGTTAACCTTTAACAGAATAAAAAAGACGAAATGACCTGAGCATCAAGGCGAATGGATCGCTGAATCCCTTTGTCATGCATAATGACATTGGACATTATGTCCATGAGCTGTGTAGCCAAAAGAGTAGGACTTTGAAGACGGTTGGCAATGACAAAAGCCAGTACCTGCTCCAAACATTCATGTGATAGAACACTAGCATACAAAAAACTACTCAACACCGGTTCCTTTTCAGCCTACAAGACAAATTCAACATCATGATCAGAGTCACAAGCAAGTCAATTTAGTTCAGAATAAGTAGTAAAAGAGTAAAAAAAGAATGAACCTCGAGCTTAGCTTCTAGTTTGACAGCTTCCCAAATGGGGTCGGAGCCGTCTAGGATGGAATGAGGAAGCGGGTCGGGTAAACCCATGGCATAAACAGGAAAAACTTTGTCGAGAGGGAAGGGTTTCTCGGACACCATTTTAGGGAGTCGAGAATGATAATTGTGGCGAGTTAAGCAAGCCATGAGTGGAGGGGGTTTGGTTTAAGAAGAGGGAAAGGAGTAACGGAAGAAGAGTGTGAAATTGAGGAGGGGGTGTAGGAGTAAGAGGAGTGAGGGAGAGGGGTGTGTTTGGTACATGATCGGGAAACGGAATGTGGTGGTAGCTTGAAGTTAAACGCAGAGAGAGAGAGAGAGAGAGAGATAAGGGGGAAAAAGAGAGAAGAATAAAAAGTGTGTATGAAAAAAATGAAACAGAAAACAAGGCACGTTGAATGGTGTAGAATCAATGCGCTACTTTGTCTTTTTTTATCAATTCTCAACGCTCAATCAAAACAAAAACTCACGCCCTGGAAAATTTAAATTAACTTTTGGTCAACATTTCTCAATTTCTTATAAAAATATTTTTTAAAACGTATTCATAAATAATTAGTTGTTTTTAAAAACTACCTATCTATCCGATCATCCAAGTTGTTTTAAATTATCAATATGATTCGGTAAAATGGCATATGTAATAATAATATTAATAATAAAAATAATGCAAGCACATATATAGATTTACAAAATTTACCAAATTTTAATTTTTTTCAGAATCTAGGTTTTGACTCTATTGGTAAAATAAAAATAAAATTAGTTTTTTCAGAATCTGAGTTTTGTCTCTAATGAATATTCTAAATGAAGACGAGTTTGTTAATATTGGTTTTAATTTCTTTCATCTCTATATCTTTAAATGTCAGATATTTCTGCATTAATATGATTTTCATTTATTATATTGTTGAGTTTGTTTAATTTTAACACGTGATTTTTGTATTTGGTTGTGTTTGTTGCTTAATTTCTTTTATCTCAACATCTATTTGCATAAAGAAGTAGATAAAGAAAAAGAAAAAATAAAATAGAAAATGAAATTAATAGAAGTATATGGTAGAAATAGGAATGAGAAGAGGAAAAAAAGAAAAAAAATTAAAAGCAAATCCAAAAATTAGTGAATTCAAAAACTTGAAAAAACTGCACGTTTTTCTAGATTAAATAAGAATGAAATCAGTAGAAATCATGGTGTAAAAATATGGAGGAGTGCACTGTTGAAGTGCATATTGAATGAAAATATCGTATTCAATTTATTTCTCTTTATTTTCATTAGTTCCTCTTTATTTTAGAGACGGTTACTTCTATTCATTTTTATTTTTAATATGTTAATTTAATAATTTTTTAATTTGAATTTAATCTCAGTATAAAGTATTTTAAAGAATATCTCGTTTCTATTTTAAATTCTATATTTTATTAAAATATTATTAATTTGTTAATTTTTTTATCTTTCTTAGTAATATAAACTTCATTTCTTTTCAGTTTCTGTATTTATTTAATTATTTATTAAAATTTATTTAGGTCAAATAAATAAATATAACAAAAAGAAAATAAAATATAAAATAGATGTAATAATTGGCAGTGGACATGTCACACAAATTGTACCACCTATTTAAAGAAAATATACATCAATTATTTTCTATTTATCAAAAACGAAATAGAAGATTATATAATATATTATATTAATTTATTATTCAATTTTAATTTTATTAATTAATATTTTCTTTAAATTTTATATGCATCTGATAATTGATGAATTTCCTTATTTAAAATTAGATTTCAAGTTACATGATGTCTATATTACCTAAACTTTAATATACTATATGATATAATTTATATCAAAAAATTATTTTCTCATACTTTTATAATATTATTAATATTTTAAAAATCATAATATATAAATTTGAATATCTAAAATAAATCATATTAAATTTCATCCATTCGGTTCTATGTTTTTAAAATTCTCATATAAAACTGAATATATATATTTTATTTTTTGTTCGAATCGGATGTATTTTATTATTTAAATCAACATGACAAACTATTTTAAAATATTTTGTAAAAAATGTTTTTTATAAGAAATTATGAGAAATCTTAACCAAAAATTAATTCTAAAACATTATTATATTTACTAATATTAAAAACGCCAATACTTAAGCAAGAATAAAAAGGCTTAATACTTCATTAAAATAGAGAGTATATTTTTAAAAGGCCTAATACTTTATAATAAATGTGACTAGTAAATTCTAAAAATTCTCTTATGATTAAAATAGAATAGTATATTTTTATAGTTCGTAATCGGTAGACCGAAAAATAGATTAATGATTTAAGGACCAGAATGAATATAAATAAATGTTTTGGTTGGCCGTAAGTTGTACTTTTACTTTATTTGGCTTGATAGTTAAGGAGATATTTTTATCTTGGTTATTTAAAGTATATATTATGTATCATGACACAATTTTTTGAAATAAATAATTGATTGAGGCAATTTTACTCATTTTAATATAGTATTAATTTGGTTGGCTTTTCATGAATAAATTTCATGATAAAGATTCATATAATTTAAAAAGTATATATATATATATATATATATATATATATATATATATATATATATATATATATATATATATATATATATATATATATATATATATATTGTCATTTAATAAAGATTTATCAATCAGTCATGTCATACAGTTAACTTAAAAATACCATTGTGATTTGACAGAATACATGATAGTGATTGATTGACAATGTAAATAATATGTTTAGAAGATATATTTTAATGAAAGAATATAATGTTTTAAAAAATTTAAAATAATTTGGACAAAATTTATTGTTTGAATAGAAAATAGAAAGAATTATTAAAATAATGAAAATCTATAAAGTATTTTGAACAATTTAAATTTAATAATTTTGAAATGATATATAAAAATAAATTAAAAAATTGAAATTTCTCTCAAACTCTCAAAGTTTATAGTGTTAGGGATATTTTCACTAGAGTTGTTCATGGTATAGTTTATAGAAAAAACTATACCGAACCAAATCAAATCAATAATACAAATTTACTCGAATTAAATTGAACCGTTTCAATTTACTTAGAACCGAACCGAATTAAAATTATTGGTTTAGTATACTGTTTAGAAATTTCGGACCGTGACAAATTGTTAGAATACAATTTTTCCAACCAAACCGTTTATTAAAGAACCAACCATTAAATTATTTTTCAAAATTTTAAAATAATAAAAATTAAAACTTGTCTTTAGTATTTTTAATTTTCAGTTTCGGCTCAGTCAGATACAGTTTCAGTTTGGTTCGGTTTCAGTTCAGTACGGTTCTAGAACTATTTCGTGTAATATATATGGTTTGGTTCACTAACCAAACATAACAATTCGGTTATTTTAACTTTAGTTTGGTTTGATTCATGAATTTTTTGAACAACTCTAATTTTCATTAGGAAATATTGAACGTTGTAGGTCTTTCCTTTCCGAAGCAACATAAAAGACAAACCATATACTCATCCAAAACTTTAAGGTGATAGGTGTGTGGATTCTTCGACTTATAAATGGCCAAGTCACCATATTCTTATCAAATATGAGACTATTATTCACACTTGTTATAATTAACCTATAGAATGTGAATGTCAAATTAGATATTGGGTAACGTTAACTTGTGCCTCAATGACATAAGTTAGAAACTAAATTAAGAAAAATTGTCTTGAAAATTGTGTATAAATTTTAATTAAAGCATATAATTAATTTTTAAATTATTTTTTCAATACAAATTTACTATAAATAAGTTTCTTACCTTTAAATATTATTATTTCAATTTTGAAAATTAATCTCCCTATTTTTTAAATTTTACAAATTGACTCTTAAAAAATTTTTAAAATTTTTAAATTAGTTCTTAATAATTTTCAAGTTTTATCAATTTGTTTCTTTAAATTTTTAAAAATTACAAACTAACTTTTATTTTTAAAAATTTTAAATCTGAACCCAAAATTTTAAAATTTATGAAAGTAAGCCAAAAAGTTAATAATAAACTACTTTAATATTACATTCAAACAAATTATTTTTAAAATAAATAAATTACAATTGAATCATTTAAATTATTTAAAACTTAAATTTTATAAAAAAAAATAGTTATCTTTTCCTAATTTATTTGGGAGTTAGTTTTTAAAAGATTTTAGAGAAGAAGACTTTCGAAAACTACAACTATATTTTAATATGTATTTAATATTTTAAAAAAATTAAAAAATCAATACAATAATAACATATACTAATGTATCATGTTGTTGCTTTTTTAAATTTTATTAAGATATCAAATATATATCAAAATATAAATGCATAAAATATTTAAAAATACTTTTTATATTTTATATTAATACAATTTCATTATTTAATAAATTTAACATAATTATTCATTACAAAATATATTTTCAATTTTTATTTTTTTTACTTTTTATTTTTCCTTGACTTAATGAAAAATACTTATGTTAATTTTTTTACCTTATTTTTACTCAAGAACAGTCCAGAAACAGAAGATGCCAATAACAAAACTGCAAAATGATTAAGGTAAACAACATGAATATATCTTTTATTGGAGCAGTGTGAGTGACACTATATGTTGGTAATATAACATAAAATCTGATGCGACCATGTGTAGTGTGAAGTGTGAGCTCCTGTACAAAAGTGGTTGCTTTTGTTTTAACTTTTAATGTATTTGTCTTTTTCCTCTTTGATTATTATGAATGTGACCATGTTGAATGTGGTCATAAAACCAACCTAAAACATTCTTCAAATAAAGACAAAGCGTGTCTTCTTTCTTCTTCTGCGGCCAACATCGTTAACTAATTACTAGATATTACATGGCAAAAACTAAACCGTAGAGACTCATTTTAGATCTATAACTCTATATTTTTTGTGATACTATATCTTATAAATTATTGCTTTAATTTCTAAATAGTAACACGAATTTGTCGGATAAAAACCATTTCGCCATACATAAGATTTGACGTGCAAATAATGTTTTAATTCTTCCATAATATATAAAAACTTAATAAAAAAATATTATATTTATTTTATTATAAATATTAATTTTAATACTTATAATAATATAAATATAATAAATAATTTATAGATATATAATATTTTTAATTTAAA